AGACAAGTCAGCAAGCTTCGCAGAGTGCGGCGCAGAATCCCAGCTTTACGAGCAACAGATGGTCTGGCGCGAATTACACAAGATGCAGCCAACGGGCTTCACCAACACTTCATTCACACTTTCCAGAGTGAATCATCATTTTATCCGCTTTTGACACAGCTCTCATCGCCACCAGGGTTAAACCACGTATCGTTCACAGAAGCCAATGTGATGAAAAGGCCTGCGCCTGCACTGTTGACCTGGCGTGGATGACATCATACTGAAGGCATTGAAGACAGCGACGAGGAACGCTGCTGAACCATTAGCTCGGTTCTTTCAACATTGTTTGGACGCAGTGCAGGTTCCCACAAGGTGGAAACATGGACTAGTCACTCCTATTTACAAAGTGGTAATCTTGCTGATCCGTCGAACTCCTAACAATCAGGCTCTTCCCAGTTGTATCCAAATAAATGGAAGGAATACTAGCAGAGGCGCTCATGGGATACCTTGAGAGTGACAATATCCTAGTGTCGCAGCAGCACGGATTCCACCGAAATCGATCTGGCACTACAAACTTGCATCTAGCCCGAGCAAGCTGGACTGCGTCAGCCGATGCCAGAGTGGGAGTCGATGTCGTCTACCTGGGATTCTCGAAAACATTCGATCATTTGTACCACCACATTCTCCTGCAGATTTCGACACTATGGAATTGGTGACCCTGTGTTCGGTTGGATCGGCAACTTCCTCACCCAGGGTCAAGTGAAAGTGAGAGTCCGCAACTCAATTTCCAGTACAATTGATGTTCAGTGTGGCTTGCCCTAAGGATTAGTACTGAAGCCATGTTTATTCTTAGCGATTGTTTAGCGAGCATGGTAGTGTATTGCAGTCGAATTTCTTAATGTTTGCAGATGACGTAAAAATTTGGCATGACATCAGGACAGCGGATGATCACATGGCATTGCATAGCGATCTCCACATTTCTTATAAGCGCTCATCCGATGAACTGCTTTAGTTGAACATGGCGAAGCGCAAAATCGGGAGCACATGTCATCAGATTATCTATGAATATCAAATTGGAGACCAGAAGTTACAATGTGCTTCCTAGGCAAGCGATCTCTGTGTGGTCGTGCAGGACGATCTTAGCTGCTCGAGACAGACTGAAAAGGCATAAAAAGAGCCAATCAGCATCTTGGACTCTTACGGCTTTGGGAAATTTTAAGCCATCAGTCATTTCCAAATGCTGAACGCCTACGTGAGGCCCCACGTGGAATATGCGATCCAGACTTGTCGTCCCTGGCGCAAGCGCGACATCAGTGCACTTGAAGCTCCAAAAGGTAGAGCGACCAAACTCGTTAGAGGATTGTTTCATCTCTTTTACCAGCGCATACTAAAGTCCCTGAAATTGTACTGGGGAATATCGACATCAGCGAGGAGGCCTCAGCATGGTTTACTTAATACTGACGAGCCCAACTCACCCATGCCGCCAGCTGTTGAGGCTGCGACAAAATACTAACCGGAGAGGCCATCAACTCCAACGTTACCCACTACAGTTGACTTGACTGTTGACGAAACGTCATTTTCCTCCGTGTGTCCCGTGCTTGGAACGTCCTTCCGACTTCCATCATCCTTGTCTCTATATTAATACTATTCAAAAAGCGCCTTGATGACAGGTTTTCCAACTTGCATTATTTGATATACTTTATTTCACTCAGATGACGAAATAACACAAACCAAACCATGTGCCTAACAGCCCTCTCCGCAATGTGGCGATGAGGATACATGCAAAAGTGCCATTGTGAGTAGCGTGGATGTCCAAACAGGCAAATCAGAAGACGTAGATTGTGAGATGACGTCGCCATTTTATGCACTCCTATCAATCACAAAAAACATACAGCAATGTTACGTAAATGAACAACCAACAACATCAAATAGACCATATATAGCTCTGGATTTGCGCTACCAGTGTTGGCTTAAAGTCGCAGTCAGCTGTTTTGGAATACACAGCGGCGGTCACTCGCGATCGATAACAATGGCCTCCAATAGCCTAAGCATGTGAGGCCGCCGATCGCGCAGTAGGACAGTGAATGACTCATCAGGATTGACTTGGTGGCCGGTGGTAAGCAAGTGCTTTGTGATTGCCAAGGCAGCTCGGTTTCCCGATTCAACCGATTCCGTCGTTACAGACACCATTCTTCTGCGAAAGCACTTAGGGATGTGCGCAGTTACTCTGGGTAGTACGTCCAACGTAGCTAGCTCTTCAGCTACCGGTGAATTTATATAGACAGTGGGACATGCATTGCTTTGTCGTCGCTCTCTTAATCGAACGCAAAAGCATAGGTCTTGTCGATGTGAGTAGCCGCAGTTCCGCCGCATTGTACGCTCTTTTGAGTGAAGACTTGATCAGTTTCTCGGTGAGTATCATAATGTGGTCACCTTTGAAAGGTAGCTTGATAAAGATCGGCTTCTTCGGAATTGTTAGCATACGATCTCACTTGATTGCTTCGCTGACACGCTTAATGAACTGCAACGGTCTTATAAGCATTGTCGATGCCTACGGTGCCGAACCCATTCGCGAACATTGTTTCGAGGCAATTACCCCCCTGGAATTGCGTCAAGAAGTAAATGCTCCCGTTATCCAAGCTGACGCGTACTGGTGTGCACTTGTCTAGTCTCATCGTCGTCTACGTAAGTCGAGAGCCATTATGAGAGAAGTAGCAATGTAGTTAGAGGTCATATCTACCCAACTTCGATACACCTAGCAGTGAAACAGGTCGACTGGTTGTACGCGTGTGCGCATGCCTTCTTCATGGATGGGTGCCGGTAGCACAACCTGTTTGCACGTGTGAGATGAATACACAATACCCATCTAGTCTAATCATTGCACACAACGACTGAATTCGTGCTTGATAAGGCTATTGAGATAGAGGCAATTGGATGTGGATTGTGAAAGCCCCTGACCGTCGCCTTCATTGCTAGTTGACTTCTCCACGAGCAAAGTGTCTCACAACACCTAGGTGCACTTTGTTGGATTTTTTCCAGTGCTCACTGCTTGCTCGGCGTACTGCACGCGATCCTTAACTGAACTGTGATCGACTTTGACGTGAATCTCGGCTCATTCGATGACTCGTACCCAATCTACATATCGTAGTGTATTCAAACCACGGTTAGGTCAAATATTCTATCAATGGTCTTTGCTAACTTTGAATCGCGCTCTGCGTCCACATTCTGGCTACCAGCTTGGATGCGAGTCAAGTTGGCGGAAACTAATGGTAGCGGTTCTCACATGTGTGGACCATGTGTCCATTTCACAACGGACTCGCTAGTGCTTCATCGAAAGATGAACTGGCAGCCGACTTTGTGATATAACACTGATCGTCTCCATGGTGTTATGCTAAGATCCCGGAAACTTCGATTATCAGCATTATCGCTGCAGCCCTGCTCTTATCCTCAGCGCCAACAATGCGCGTTCATATGTGACTCTTATCCATCATGCAGAACCAGCTATCGAAAGGCAAAATGAGAATTCGCCGCATAAGTTGATGCCGTCTCCCTATTCCGCTACATGTAGTCCGCCTTGCGACCTTCGACTTCCCATTTGGTACCACCTGACACACCACCGCCGGCCAGCTCATGATCGCATGATATTTCGACAACCCTGAGAGTTTAGTGATACCTTCCGAAACCAGCCAACACTGAGGTAATGCTGCTGGCACGAAAATAAGCATAGGTTCCTTCCATATTCGTTCGTCTTTTAGATGCCTTTTGTTCTATGCCTACATGAATAGTATCCATATAAATCAACAATGCGCGTATTGGTAATCCTTCTACAGTAGGTAGCAGGTAACCTCGTGAGTCATGTTCCTTGAGTCAATTCATTGATAAGCTTCGAGTTGTCCAAAATTGTTCTGTTTCTCGGATTACAGTCTAAAAAGCTCACGTTAGGCGCTTGCCACTAATGCAGCTTACCTACGATGCAAAATTCACATGAAAACGAAGGTAGGAACAGTTGGAATCTCTCAGAGTACTGTTCACATGAGAATTCGCAATTACGCCTTTTCGAAATATGTCAGTTACAATAGCGGTTTCCAACCCAGTTCACAGCCGAAAATACGTCCCGGGCTTTTTGTTGAATGCACAATCCAGAGTGTACTCATGGCTGTGCGGATTGTGACTCGATTTGGCTCCGCCAGTGCCTCCGGTCCTGAAACGAGATCCTGTGTGTTGCAAAATGATCAGCAGCGTCCATTATGTTGTGAAGAGAACATTGTCGATCAAGAGGAAGATACCATGCGCGACACAAAACAACAAAAGTAGTTAGTTGGTTGTGCATCATTTGTTTACGAGCAGCCGTCACTATGTGGTTGGTTCCTTGACCCCATCCGAGCGTGCACGCGGACGTCCTTGTCTTTCGGTAGGATCTATAATGTATCAATGTAATATCATCGGCAGTCCACAGTGACGCTGTGCTCAAACAAACCCGCTGAGACAAACTAAATGTGTCTGTTCAGCTGCACGTTGAAAAATGTAATTCAATTCCACTGGACACCTGTACAAGACGAGCACTGCCACTTACGTGCACATTTTCCGCAGTGTCTGAAAGAAATAGTGGACAGTATTGTTATGACTATAATCGCTTAAGCGAATGTGTCATAATGTTTAGTATGTCACTAGCCAGCTCTCAAACAAAACGCGAACTGATATACATTGGTTGCAGACTGTCGGTAATCTCACTGGCTTTGACGGGGACTATGGTTATAGCTGCCGAACGAGGTATTCCACTCGCCATGGTTTTGCCCTTATTCGCCTAGCGTATATAACTGTACATCTTTCTGCTGTGTCAGTAAAGTACAAATCGCTGATGACCGCCCCAAAAGGAGAGTGGAGTATTCTTTTCCTAGTGTCCAATTCACGATTATTTGTCTTTTATGCTTGAATTTTCAAAATGCCATTATCTGTTCTCAAGACAATGACAGCGAAGTGATTTCTCAAGTTGACTTCAAGTACCGGTTGTTTATTTCTAGCTAACGAACAGCGCAGAGCTCTCCTTCGTGAAATTCTCTCCGCCCAAGCAGAGGACGCCCTTGCGTCGGCCCAATTGCAAAAGCGAACAGGTTGTGTCCAAGTGGCGGAAGAGCTGAACTCATTGGTTTCCACAATGCGATCCGCAATCAATACGCTCAGAAAGCGCGACGTACAGCCAATACATAAGTTTCACACCGTTCGATTACCCCGGTTAAATAAAAACCTGCACCTCCGAGACGACCAGCTTCAAGTGCAAATTGACTGGATCGTCACCGACTGTGAGTCTCCAGGGAAGGTATCCGACGTGACCACATTTGTGCGAGTTGAACTGCACTTTCCTTCCGGAGAGGAAGCGCAGCATCTGGAGACCGAGGAGTTCGGTGTGTTTGACAACGTGTCACGTGGCCATGCAGACATGCTTTTTCAAGTAAACACCGCCCACTGGTTCCACACCCGATTTGTGGTACTGAAGGTGCACGTAAGTATCACGATTTTCACGTTTTCCTCCGATGCCATCACATGCGCCTTTTAGAAGATCTTTGAGTTACATGAAGGGACGCGAGAGACCGGGGGGTTTCCGGCTATATCCAACCACGAATGGTGTGAGTCTGTACAGACTGAGGTGCTCAACACAGATCAGTTAAGAAGGCCAAAGTAGCGGATGTGGACAGACCCCACGGCTTCCACCAGCATTGTTCAGTAGTATCATCCTCATCTACAGACAGAACTGGCTCTTAGGGCAATTCGGTGAGGTATAGGTATTCCGACGAAACTAGCTTTACTAAAAATAGTTATTATATCGTGAAAATATCTAGTAACTTAGCTAATAATATCAGCCTGATCTTTCCGTATAATTCATGAGGAAAAATCTTGTTCTTGTTGGAGTCGGTTTCTTGGATAATCATTGAACGACATGGCTGAATCGTAGCGACCACTTTGATTGTTCTTGCCATGCTCGAAGAGCAACACTGAGAGTGTCACAGGATCGTATGCAGTTTCGGAGATCTGATTACGCTACATTCATAGTAACTAATACGATATACCGGTTTGATATTGAGCATCGCACACTAGAAAGTTAAAAATTGCACTTTGAGTTTACAGGTTGGCAACCGGAGAAATCGGAGAATCGCATTTGGATTTAAGATGCTTATGGGCCTGTTTGCACTCCGCATAAGTGGATACTCCTGGGCTATTTTCATCAGACAATAAATGTGCCATAATCTTGGTGATCTGAAATACATTGCTAGGGAGTAGTGTATGTGCGTCGTAAGTTTAAACAGTGGATGTTGCTATTTTTTGTCTTAGAATACGGAGAAAACGAGCTAAACAGACGA